GGGTAGCGCGGGCGGGAGGGCGGCGGCGTGAGCGGGGCTGCGCCGAGGAGGAGCGCCCCGCCATACTCTGATTGGTTGCTGCATGCGGGGTTTTGACGTTGGACCGAGGCCGCAGTCCCTGAGGTTGCTTTTTGGTGACTCACCGGCTCGAAAAAGTGCGTAGCGTTGCGGCCCGCGTCCGCGCGGCCGGCCCCGGCGGCCGCCTCGGACCCCATTGCCCCCGCCTCCACGAGGGAGTCCTTGCCGCCAGGGCTGGCTTGCGGCCCCTGCCGCGGCGCGGGCGGCGGCGCCCCGTCCACCGCCGGCGGGGGCGGCGCGCCGTTGGCCGCGGCGGCGGCCGGCGGCGTGGGATTGTGTGTGACGCGCTCGTGCTCGCGGCCAGTGGGGTCGCCTTCGGCATCGTCTGCGTGGCCTGCACCTGCGCTGCCCCCTGGGCCTGCCTCCCCTGTGGCCGCGTCGCTGCAGACCCGCGTTTCACCGCCCTCCTGCGCCTCCGCGCACGGCGCCTCCGTGCCCCCTGCGGCTGCCGGGCCGCCTGCCGCTGCCGCCGCCGGCGCCGGCAGCGGGTGCTTGGTCTGGGGCTCATGCCTGCCGGGCGGCGGCCCCCCGGAGGCGGCGTCGGCGCCTGCGGCCGGGGTCCTCGCATCCGCGCCTAGTGTGTTGGCAGAACAGCCCTGGTCCGCGGTGCGGAGCTGCTCCCCGCCAGCACCGCCAGCGCAAGACCCGCCGCCGTCGCCGCCGCCGCTGGTCCGTGCCCGCACGTCGATGGAGAGGGCGCTTGCCCCCGTGGCGCGCAGGCCGGCCACCCAGCAGGGGCCGAGGGATGCCACCAGATCGCGGCAGCCCAGCAGCTGCGGTGGGAGTAAAGGACGCGTGTCGAGGGCGCGAAGGTGTGTGTCGAGCAGGCGCTGCCGCCCCCTTGCTTGCCGTGGAACACCGTCCCTCCCTAATGCTGCCCTATGTGCAGGCCGTCCGTTGCCCTGATATCCCCCCCTGGGGCTGTCAAACCCATGAACACGCACATGGCACGCCCTTGCAATCCAACAGGGCAGAGCAGCATGACCTTGGCATGCACGCTCCTGCTGGAGTCGCACCTCGTAAGCACGCTCGGTCCCCTTGTGGCGGACTGTTGCAACTGCCTCCCCTCGCACCACCTGGCAGTCCCAGCCGCCCGGGCTGCTGCTGCCGCCGCCACTCCCCAGCTGGAGCGTGACCGCCAGCGGAAGCCGCTGCAGGTGGTCTCTCAGGGCGGGGTAGCACGCGCGCATGAAGGGCGCCGGCAGGGTCAGGCGGCCGTCCTTCTGGAACGCCTTGCAGCCCTGGCGGGGGGGGGGGGGTGGCGGCGGGCGGGCTGCTCGAAGCCTGACAGGAAGCCACGAATTCATGGGAGCCCTTACGGCTTGACACATGATTGGACTCGGAGGAAGGCTGCAGGGTGTCCAGGCAGTAGGCATGACTGTTTTTACAAGCAGGCAGCTTGAAGCTGGTGAAAAGGCGCAGTCGGCTGCAACCTTGCCACCAAAACTTCAGCGCGCTCACCGGCTCAAAGGTGTGTTTTGCAGAGGCGTCCGCCCCGCGGCCGTTGCCGCACGCCGCGCCGACGGCCCGGTTCAGGGGACCGGTCTTGCTAGGAGAGGCGGTTGCAGCAAGCAGCAGCAACCCCTCTGCAGCGGCCTCAGAGGCGAGCGCGGCGCTGCCGCCGGCAGCGGCCGCGGGCGCCGCCGCCGGGCTGGCAGTCTGGCGCGTGCCGCTATCGTCAGAGCGTCGGCGCTTGGCTGCCGCCGCAATAGGCGCGGGCGTCGGCGCCGGCGCTGCCGCCGCCGCCGCAGCGACCTTTGGCGGCCGCCCGCGCTTACGGCTCGGCCGCGCACAGCCGCCGCC